CAAGATCCCCTTTCCCTTTCCCTTTCTCATCCTCAACCCTCCAGACCATCCATCTGCGCAGCAACACCTTTCGAATACCATCAAGACCATCCTATCTCTTCAACAGCGACACAGTAACTGAATCAACAACCTTCCACAATTCTACTAAGCATCCCAAGTCATCCAGTCACCATGACCGCAATCTTCGCCCGACAAACATGCTCAAATCCATTCTCATCCCACTTGGCATCCACCTCCCGGCACAATGTCGCGGATGAAATGGAAGGGGTCGAACGCTGTGAGGCGGCGGAAGAGGGTAAGATGGTCGGCGTCGAGCCTTGCGACGAGAATCAGATGCAAGGCGTCGAGTGCGATGAGCATGCCAACGACGACACTCGCATGGAAGGCGTCCAATGTACCGACGATGGCGGTCGCTCCAAAGCTTCGCAGGGCGTGCAGAGCGGGAGCAAGGGCGGATGCGAGATGGAGACGGAGATGCAGGGTTTGGAATCGGGTGGTGGCGTGGATGGGGTTCGGGAGGGGGAGGGGGATGTGCAGATGCTGGGATCTGGGTGCGCTACGGTTTGACGTTGCGGTGCGAGTTGAGTGGTTGATTGATTGATTGATTGATTGATTGATTGATTGATTGATTGATGGGTGTGCAGCGGTGATTCAGGGTTGTAACTTACGGTGCTTGGGTTATAGCGTTTTCTTGTCTTTCTTTTCCTGTTTTCATTTGTCCGTTTGTTTGGAACCGAGTTGCAAAGCTGGACATGGCATGGCATGGCGCAATGCTGCATTGAGTAAGGTATGTTTTTGATACTTTAGTCTTCGACTGGTAATTGAACTGTTAGTTGCACTTTAACTCCCCCCTTATTCTGCATTTACAGCGCTGCTCTGTCCTACCTCTCCCAGTCAGTCGGTTGACTGGAAAGCATGGTAGAGTACCGCTCGTGTCTGTCGTGCTAGGTTGAAAAGAAATGGCAGGGCCGATCGATGGATAGGTGCGGCTTTTCCTCTTCCTCGTTCGTCACCTAGTCCTTTGATTTTGATTTTGATTTTGATTTTTCGGCGTCTACGAGCGCAGTTTTTTGATACATGTTGAGAGGCTGTCTAGGGCTTTCTAGATTCTAAAAGTAAAGGGCTTTACACAGAAGGGAAAATCTAACGCAACCGAGACCCCGTGAGCTACGCTTCGAAGAGACAAGAGAAAGCGTCCGTACCGGACGACTTCCCAGCGAGAAGGAGCGGGGAATAAGGCACGTTGGACCTTAGCGACCGAGGTTGGAGTTGGAGTACATCGATTGACCCTATCTGCCCTATCTTCGGTCATCGTCTCTCATGCATGGGACAATAGGTACATCGATCCCGGACTCAGAATTTCCAGCTGAGGAGCCAACACCCAGCGATGGGATGATGAAAAAGAGAGGTCCCACAATGATGTGCCCTGTCCTGTACAGTGTCCCATTCCTGTGGCATCCTGATGACCCTATGCCAAAGCAGCGACTTCAGTCCCCACCTCCATCTTACTCTGCTGCAATTCTTCCAACAATTCCGGTGCCAACGCCGACACTTCGTCGATATGAACCCCACACGTATTCGAAACAAGCTGCTTCAGCGTCTCGCCATGTCCGCTCATGCCAGCTGCCCCCTGAGCTACCACCACAGCACTCGTCAACTTTCTTCTCTTATTCTGCTGCTCTGCTAGCGCCAACGCGGCAATCTTCTGCTCCTCGAGTTCATGCTCGTTAGACATGGTACTATTGGGTTTTCGGTGCGCTGAAGGTGGCAAAGCTTGCTCTTCGGAGCGAACGGCGTGGTGAAGCTCTTTGTGTTGGATTTGCTCGGATAGGCTTTCGCTTTCGGTGGTTAGTCTGCGCTCCTCTTCTCGTAGACGGTGTTCTTCTTCTTCGTTGTCGTAGCTGTCGGTTCCCTCTTGTAAGTGTCGGAATATCCCTTGTCGGACGCTATGTAGTTGGTGATCGACGTTTTGAACCAAGCGCTGACCTTCCTCTAGGTCGTCATCTTTCTGTTTGATCTCGCTGTCGTAGGCCAGTGCCACTTGAAGGGATTTGTCTTGGGCCATTTCGCCAAAGGACTGGCTAAAGGATCTGGCGGATTGGCTATGGTAGTGAGATGCCGGTCCTGCTTTGGAGGCTTTAACCAGCTCGTGCCCGTTAGTTGCACCAAAGTCCGGCAGTGGAGATGATGATACGAAGTCCTGACGAATGGCACGTTGGCCTTGTATGATCCTATCGGCGGTCTCTCCATTGCCGTTCTCGAGGTCTCCTCGAACACCTCGGCCCTGGAGAGCTCGAATGCACTTCTTGGCGTTGTGTCGACCAACAATGTGTAATGCGGTGTCGCCGCTGGCATCCGGCAGGTTGACTAGCCTTGTAAACTCTTGTGGCGTGCAGACTTCAGCCATCTTATTGAGGACAATGTCTAAGTAGTAGCGAGCACATCTCTTCTTGGCCAAGCTGTTGGTAGTCATGGCGATGTGATGAAGAATAGTACCTCCGTGGTTATCTTGTTCTCGGATCGTGCTTACAAGAAGCTGTACGAGCTTCGGCATAGTCTCCTTCTCATAATTGTTTGTGAAGAGTACTGCTCGTATCAACGGTGTCTCCCCTCTCTTGTTGCGGGCAAACAGACTGGCTCCACGTTCGATAAAGAATCGTACGATGTCGATGTCACCCATGGCAGCGCCCCAATGAAGAGCAGTGTGAGCTTGGTCGTCAATAGGGCGGTTGATCTCGAAAGGTTCTGGTGGTACTGGTGGAGCGAGGTGCAGGAGGGGAGCGTCGGATGTGGAGAGCATGAAGTAATCGAGGAGTTCATCAGCGTAAAGCATGTGCTGCTGCTCAAGGACATCTTGGCCGCGCTTCCGTTTGCGCGAATGTGGATCGTATTGGCTCCCTACATATCTGTCGTCCTCATCCATAAACGACGCAGAAGCGATTGTAGAGTTGTCTTGGGAGTCATCATCATGGAGTTGTGTGCTGATGTTGTCGTAGTCTTCGCTGAGCTGACTGTAGGTTGGTTTCACTTTGGGTTCTGTTCGTTAGCAAAAGCTGTACTTGTCAAGCGCAGACAGCACTCACTTGGTATCTTTTTGTTATTTGGGGCCTTGGGAATCTTGGGCTTATTGGAATTGGTGGTGTGCTTGGGCGCTGGTGGTGGACTGCTGTCTCCAGGGACGTAGTCGAAGATGGGTCGGAGCTTGTCGATGACGCCGTTGCGCTCTGCAAGGAGTCTTCCTTCTCTCAAAGGGACCCAAGTACCTGCCAAGGACCGTGAGCGTGGAGACGAACATCCAAGCTACTAGGTCTCTGCTAACCTTGGTATTTCCCATAGCCTCCCTGTATCTTCTCATGCGCCCCCTTTTGGACCTCCCTCTCTAAAATTCTTGTCCTGGCTGGCTTGTCGTAGTCGGCGACTTTGAGAATGTGAGTGGCATTTATGTAGTGGTCTCTTCTTCTTCGCATGACATGATTCCCCTCGACATTGAATTCGAACACCGGAACCTGCAGAATGTTAGCGTTGCTTTCCAAATCCGCGTAAGAGAAGACGTGGATGGGCAGCGACTTACACCACTGTAAGTGGCAGAGTATATGCCATTTGACGCAACGCCTGGGGCCATGGTGGGCAGACTTCTGTCTCCTTCATGCAGCAGCGGCAGTTACCCGCAGGCCAGTGCAGAGGAGCAAACAGAAATCTCAGTATCGCTTTTGAGCGCGGAGATTTACAACATGATTGTCCAGGTTGCCTTGGGCGTAAGATGTGGTGACTCTTGGAAATATAGGGAATAATTGAGGGTTGGTTGTGCGCCTCAAAAGGATTAAGTGGACCAAATGGAAATGGGTTTGAGACGCGCACTGCGATCTTCACGCGTAAATTGACCGAGGGGAGCCCGCACTAGACGAGCTAGCGCCTTTTGGTCTTGGCATCCGAGCTCCGATTGAGAGCTTTTGATCTCTTTGATCCTTTTGGTGCTTCACCCAAAAGGCAGACTGCCAGTATTTTCATGGGCTCAGAGGAAACGATTGGCAAAATGACAGTCATAGAGACGGTCAAGGAGACGGTCAAGGAGACGGCCAAAGGTGCTCTCGGCACCAACCATGAGGCCCGTGAGTCGTAGCCCGTCTCAAGACCACCTTCCTTTCTATGCGGTCTCGAAGCATGGACAGCAGCGAAGCATCCGAACCCATTGCTGACTGAGTTTCCACCTCCCTTTAGCTCGTGCAACTCGGGAGCAAATGTCTGAAGCCAAATTACCCCTAGCCTACCGAGACAGCTGCGCCCACCTCGCTATCCCCCTCAACCGGTGTCGATTCGAATCATATTACCTGCCTTGGAAATGCGTGGTTTGCTATACTTGCTCCGCTAAGCGAATCCGGACATGGCTGACAAGGATTGCTATAGGATGAGAGACATTCGTACGAGAAATGCCAGTATGTAGAATTTAAGAAGAGGGTAGCGAAGATGGATGAGCTGAGGGCTGCAAAGGGTGGTGCAAGAAGCAATTGAGCTGAAGAAGAGGGGGCTGGAGGGTCATTGTATATATCACAGTTACAAGAGGTGTATAGTGGAGTTCAGGTTGGGGAGTGCATGGGCATTGTGCACAAAACTTTCCGGCCCATACGATCTGCTTCCATAGATACTGGCAGCTGCTAAACCCTGACGGGCTACGAGCCAATGGACCTGCCGAGTCCATTGACAGTCCTGAGTGAGAGGTTCGAACAGAGCTTCCTGGGGAATGGGCCTGGGAGTGCCATGCCAATATGCAACATGCTGGTTCCGGACGGTCACAGGCAGCAAACTTCATCATATCACCCCTTATAAGCAACAATTTTGTGCCGCAAGTAGCTACCTCGGATGTGGCGTCCTAGCTAGCTTCCTATGCCTTCATCGCACAAGATTCAACCATCAAATGCAACCTGGGGTATCATTCCAGACGCCGTACTAAATGCCATGCACGCTCTTGTCTCGTCTGTGCCATCTAAATGGGGGAAAATGCCTCACGATTCTCCACTTCCATTCAGCACGTCCTTCAGAATCTCCCACCCAAACTCTTCTTCCGGCTTCTCAGCCTCCATCCCCAGGCATGAACGGTAAGCCCGCACCTCGTTTTGCAGTCCAGCAATAACACGTATGGGTACCTCTTCCTCCTCGCACCGTAGACGATAGGCTTCCCGTAGCATTTCGACGGTACGCATGAATTTGGCGTGCCAGTCGTCTTTCTCGAGGCGAGCGGCCAAGTGTGCATCTTTTTCATCTTGTAAGAGCTTGTTATAGTGGCGTGCAATAGAGGTTTCGCGGGTTTTCGTGTTGAAACTAAAGTCGCGGACATCTTTGACTATTTCGCCAAGATGGTGTTCGTACTCGCCAATGAGCTTGATGTTTTCCTTTTGCTCGTCCATGAGAATGCGGGTTTTGTTCTGCTCGCGGGCAAGCTGGCGTTCGAGATCGGCGATGCGGACGGCTTGGGCTGATATTTAGTCATTGGAGTCTGAGGAGGAGGGGCCTATATAGAGTGAGACTCACAGGAGACCTCTGCATTGGCTTCTTGAAGGGAGGGGCTTGCTCCTTTGGCTGCAGCGCGAGTCTAGGTTGGGGAAAGCGTGTTAGCAAGCATTAAGGCATAAGAATAATAGGAGGGCCAGGCAGATGCTGAGCACTATGAAGGTTGGGGTAGATCCACGTACAGCAAGCTCTTCAGCACCAGCGATAACCCCTGCTGTCTTCTCGCGATTCTCCTTCAACACCTCACTGAGCTCCACCAACTTCTGAAACAGGAAGTTCACATCTGCCTGCTGTCCAGCCGCCATAGGCATTCCGTTCATACCGGCCCCATTACCGTTGTTGTTGATCTGCTGCTGTTGCTGCTGAGCGACCGGCGAGGGCGCGAGACGTGGTGCGCTGCCAGAGCTGCCGGTGCCGGGAGACGTGTCGAGGAAGGAGGGAAAGTTATTGGTCATGGTTGCTTGGGCGCCAAGATCGAGATTCAGGATTGCCTGAATGTTGGCCTGGTCTTCAAGGTGTTCGGCCCTGTCTTTAATCGTGAGGCCCCAGTCGGCCCATGCTTTTGCGAGACCAGTTATTTTGTGATCCATAGTCGGCATGTCGGCGTTTGTTATTTGTTCGGGCCGATGTTGTTCCTGGTGGGATAGGGTTTGTGAGGGCTATGAATACTTAGGCTAGTGCCAAGAAACGGTACAGGAAACGCGGAAAAGCCGCTAGAATGGGATCGGCCAGAGCCGTTTTACGCATCCTCGCTCCATTTTTAATCTTCAATCCACCGACTTCCTCGCGGCTTTTGATATTTCTATCAGTATACTATTCCATTTTCTATCCTTTGCGCTATTGTGCATGTTGTCATAGTCTAACTGACGCCTAGACGGAGCTGGAGCCTGTCTGGCGGGATATAAGAGACGGCCCTCCCTCGACACCATCATGGACAAAAAAATAAACAACACGTCCTGTTCCAAGTCGATCAAGCCATTCAATATTCAAGTCTTCCTCGACCGCGATCCTCTTCTCACCCTTTACGATGTACATCACAACAGCTGCGAGCGCTTACGGGCCCGAATACTATCAAGCGCTTCTTGCTCAGTCAGATCAAGCCGAAGCGTACACCCGGAACTCATGTCCCATGTCAAATGATTGTTTTGGCTCCATTATAGGCCCCTAACTCGAAAAAATGCTGCTATTAAGCTCGCAATCATCCTTCGAAGAACGCGAAGAGCAACCTGAGAGCAGACCTCCTCGAAGTTTACACGAAACCTTACGTATGAGCTATAGACCATGACATCCCATGCTGCTCACCGGTCGGCTCATCCGCTCCGTTCATGATATTACACTGCATGTCTCCACTTGCGCCAACCTGCTTGTACCAGCTAAACTTCTCAATGCTCAGATCGAGTATTGCAGCAATGTCGACTCTCGTTATACCAAGCTTGTACGCTCCGAACGGTCCGTCTGCACTGACACCGAATTCGCAAGTCTGATACTTGGCTAGCCACCACTTGCAGTTTGGCGTGCAGTGTTGTACTTCCCACCAGCCATAAGGGTTATCGTCGTTGGGCGCGGAAGTCATAATGGAAGACAGGTTGCCGCAGTCTTCGATCAAAGGGGAGGCGGATGACGATCCGTTTTCAAAGTCACTGCCGTCAGTATCTAGAAGAGTCAGTCCTGGGAGAATAGACTACTGTAAATGAGCCCACATAATGGCTGCTTACCGCAATATTTGTCACCGGGGCCTGGAAGTATTGTTGTATTCGCTATAACCCCTGGACTTGGCTCCGTAGGTGCTGTTGCCGGGCTTGTAAGGACGAGGCTAAAGGCTGCAGCCAGAGTAAGTATGTGTAAGACATTGCCTCTGATGTTTTCGCCGAGCAGTGCCATGCTTCATTCGTTGTTTGTGCCCTTGCGACGGTCTTTATCCACGCTAGTTGACTGGAATCAACACAAAGTAATTTTCAGCGGAATTTAATGCCACTTTACAAGTCAGTGTTGAGGATAGCCGTTGAACTCACTCTTATAACTTATCATAGTTGTGTGGTTGCAGCCATGTCCTTCCGAAGGTTGTACGCCACAATGCTCAAACACCAGCAATCTGAACTGCTAAGCTTTAAGAGGTGCGATAGGTCCTCGAAGGTTGCACGTCACAATGCTCAAACATCAGCAGTCTGAACTGCTAAGCTTCAAGAGATGCGATAGGTCCTCGAAGGTTGTACGCCACAATGCTCAAACATCAGCAGTCTGAACTGCTAAGCCTTAAGAGATGCGATAGATCCTATGCAAAATGCTATCCAAATTTCTCCAATCAAACATCTTGCCCAGTCGCATGCAGGCGGCACAGGTTTCAAGGTCAGCTCCGGCTCTTTTCACGTTCATATAATTTTAGCAGTCTAATGACGGCGTAGTCGTATTTCCGCGACCTTCATACATCCAGTTATTGCGACTTTACTCGTACGCTGTCTGTCTTTGAACTTTAGAGCATGTCCACTTGGAAATCGATATAGCTGTTGCCCGACCAGGCTACAAAAGCATACTTAGCTTACACTATTAACATTCGACGAAGGTAGTTCGCGAGCCAACCGAACCGACCTGCGAAATTGATAGGGCTGAGGCCTAGTGAATCTGTTCTTAGACAGTCCCAATGCATCACTCGGTGACGCCGTCGTTTTGGACTGGTGCCCTGGTGGAGGCCAAGTGCAGCAGCTCGACAATAATAGTGCAGGAAAATATTATACCGTACCTTAGTCTCCTTAATATTCCGCCAGACGGTGCTTAACTTGATAAGGCACTAGCGTTGCCGCCTTGCCGTGTTTGGTAATTCACGAAAGCTTTCTTCCCTTTCAGATGACAGTATTGATAGTTTGACAAAAGATTCTACGAACAATTGAGTACTATAATTGATCTGTATGTCTTCACAGCTACTTTCATATATTTGATACACTGGAGTTATTCGGCAAAGGGTTGAAACCGTAATGCCTGAGCACAACACTACTAGTACCAATCAATTCTGTCAAATCCCGTCCGGCTTTTGCCATCAGTCCAAATGCCTCAGTGATAACCTATGGTAGCAATCAGTATTGTTTTGAGCAGTTGCAAACTTACACCAGTTTGATGAGTTTCTACACTACCATTCTATCCGGAGGTTCTGTTTTGTAAAGGCACCTGTAAAGGACAGTCTATCTCAATCACTACAGAGAGGCTACTTGGCGAGTCCGAGCTGAAAAGGTTTCCACCAGACAGGCCAGGAGCCAGCCAACGAGGTTCACCCTCACAACCGTAACTAGCACAATGCCAGTACCCGCGGACGGCGCAGTATTCGCCCTCAAAAATACCGCAACAGGTCTCTATCTCAACACCACGGCCATTTATGCTGGTGCCGAAGTTGTATTGACAGCTTCTTCTAATGGTTCAGTACCGAGCTGGATCCTTCAAGACTATCAGAGCGGGCGCTATCTGCTCAATGCTATAGACACCACTATGTGTTTGAATGTGGCCTACGAAAGTAAAGCCGAGGGTGCGAGTTTACAGCAATGGTCTTGCAACGGAGGAGCAAGTGAGATGTGGACTCTGGTGCCAACCTCGAATGGAGCCCTGACGCTGGTCAATCAGAACAGTGGTTTGGTGGCAGGAGCTGCAGGCTCGACCAGCGGTTCAGCCGTGATTCAAATGGCAAGTGCGAACGACCCTTTGGCTCAGTGGCAAGTCGTACTGCCAAATAGTTTGGCAAACTCTTCAACCACGGCAACCACGATCGCACCAGCGGAGATTGCTAATATTAGCAGCAGCAGCAAAGCTCATGCGGCGACCTTTGGCGACGAAATGATTTACAACATCTACGCGCCTATATTCTCATCAACTGGTAATCTGCTGGCAATATCCCATGATCTATCACGTATTGCCGGCTTAGGATTCTCAACAATCCTGCTCATGCCCATTCATCCGATCGGCGTCCCGTTCGAAAATCATCCAGCATGTGGCAGCCCTTATGCAGTTGCTGATTACTACGCCATAGACCCAGCTTTGGGGCAGCCGTCTGACTTTGCTACCTTAGTGAACCAAGCGCATGCTCTGGGACTGAGTATTATCATGGACGTTGTCTTGAACCATACCGCGTGGAACCATCCGTTAGTTGTACAGCACCCGGAGTATTACGTACATACGGACGGCATCAAGAACAATTCAAGCTCCACCTCGCAAGCCTTCAACTTTGATGACGTCGCACAGCTGGACTTTAAGTCAAGCCCTGCGGTGCAAAAGTATATGTTGACGATGCTGGTATGGTGGATGAGGAACTACAACGTCGATGGTTTTCGCTTCGACACAGCTGACAATCCCTATGGAAAGGATCGAATGATCCCAGCCGCAACCTGGGCATTCATTGGCAGCAACTTGAAAGCTGTTAATCCGAAGGCGATACTCCTTGGTGAATGTTGCAATCCTGAACTTTCCCTAAGCCCCTTCAACATGGATTACGCCAACTACTCCCTCCAGCCTGCCGTGGCCTCTGCCACAAAGACGCAGGACGCGAGTAATTTGCCCAAGGTGTTCAGCCAGCTGCAGTCAGCACACCCGATAGGCATGCTGCACACGTCTATCATGCAAAATTGGGACATGGATCTAGACCTCAAAATGTATGGTGGACCTGACGGAACCCTTTGTGCAGCGGTTTTCAATTTCACTATTGAAGGTGTGCCAATGCTCTTTGCTGGCGAAGAAGTGGGCAATGATCGTGGTGGGTACAATACGCATACACCTGTTAATTGGGGTTCATCCCTGGCAAATCGATTTTCTGCTTTCTACAAGAGCTTGGGCACGCTCAGACGCAGCCATGAAGCTCTACGAAGAGGCAATATGACTTGGCTGATAGCTGGCGGTGGAGCTGGATTGGTTACGTTCACGAGAAGGCGGGAAAGTGAAGAGTTCCTGATTGCAGTCAACTTCTCCGCGTCGCCTGTGGGAGGTAGCGCAAGCACGAAGAAGTCTTTATTTAAGAAGGATAAACTATCCACTGGAGGATGGACTGAGGTTACGCCGCCTGGCGCAGCTCATGCTATACCACATCCAGCTCCTCCCGCTATCAAGCTGGGACCGTGGGACTTTGCTATATTCTGCAGAGCAATCTGAGTATTCCTATTACCATTACATAATAATCGCATCTTCCTTGCCCACCCACTCCTCCAACAGCCCCCAACTGACCCACACCCCACTCCCATCCCTTCAACCTCATACCCCGCGTCGAACGTATCCGTCCATCCTCTTACCACACTCTCCGCTGCTTTCATCGCCCAATCTTCTACAAAGTCCCAGGGGACCGCTGTGCCGAAGCCAGTCATCGTAAGTTGGAGTGCCCCTTGGATTATCGTGAAAACCATTGCCGGGCGTTTGGTCTGCGGCCACATGATGGATGCCGAGTGTGAGATCGTAGTGTAGAAAGTGTGAAGAGCCACGGCACCGACGCGGACGGGGAGGATCTCGTAGTTGGGGCCGCGCTGGAGGAACTTGAAAGCGATGTGGCCTGGTGGGGCCGTACCCAGGGTTCTGACGTATGCCTTGGGCATGGCTCCCACCTTACCAAGTCGGCGAAAATGAATACTCGAAGGGAAAGGAAATTCTGCGGTATCTAACGGCCTGGGAACGAAGGCAGCTGCTTCGGAGACCCTGTGGGTGGGACTGGCGAACGAGACTTGAACAACGGAGATTAAAATCATGACAGCCGCAAGAAAAACGTGACAGGATGACAACATCATGTCAACTGCAAACACGTGCATTCGGTAAGCATGCCATGCTGTATCATGTAGACATCAAATTCTCCGCTACCTTGTCCGGGTTTGTCCGTCGTGACCTGAGCGAATTCGGGACCAATCTTTAGGAACAAACGAGCTCGGGATTGACAAGCTAGTCTTGTTTCCTCTTCATGATCAGCAGAGAAATGCAAAGGCTTGGTTGCCGTCCGCCTGCCGAAATCGGCTCAATCAAGAGCTCTGGGGGGCATTCGTCCGGATTGAGGCTTTGGATTAAAATTGACGCTCACGGTTTCTATCAAGAACGCAGGGCAAGGAGTGTCAGCAATTGGTGGCTTGGGAATCTGATCGACAACCATTGGCACTGTTGTACCTTGCGCATAGTCGCTGCCTGGCGGCTCGCGATCCGTCAGACGAGCTAAGTGCGTGGCACGATTACGAGAGTTTGCTGCGGAGATCATTTAGAGGCGCGGAACGCTCTGGTTGAAGTTGGGCTCGGCGAATGCAGAGAAGGAAGTTGACTGTGCTGCGTCATAAGGTTTTTGTAGCAAAAGACATGGATAGATTGAGGGTTCGTTGGATATGTGCAAAAATGTTTCGCACTTGATGGATATGAAATCCAGTCTGGACTTCGTCTGCTAGGCGCAGTGAATGTGGATATGGGTATATCATGCTGTTCTGTGATATTCGCTGCCTACGAGTTTATCCTTTAGTGGTATCTGGGCGCCTCTATTGTCACTCTGTCTCGTCTAAAACAAATTTTCACTCTCGTCGTCATACACTCTGCTGCGTAGTCGACATCCCGGGCTCCGCCTTCTCAGTGAAGGCATCCGAGGTAGCGGTGACGTCGGTTTCATAAGTGTTTGCATCTGAGCGTCCGAATATCGGTCCAGGATGTGCAATCACAAGCGAGTAGACAGCAAGAACGATCATTCTGTACCCGTTGGTCGTTAGATTCGTCGCGCGTCGACGGACGAGAGCAGCACTCACACTCCCTCAAGCCCAATGAATAGCGGCTCGTTATGGATCAACGGTCCATCATACCCATCACTCAGTTCATCAATCCTGTACGCGCATCGTATCAAGATGCAGATGATTGCTAATGACAAGCATGCCACGAATACCTTGAACCTCGTTGGCAAGGGCGTTTTCCGTTGCTGATCCCGTTGCGCCCTAATATAGCGGATCGTGAACTCTATACAGAGGGATATGAAGACGCAGAGCGTGAAGACTTGGAAGGAGAGACCCGCGATGGCGACGTCCACTGCGATTTTGCTACTTCCGGAGGAAACAGACGATAGGGCTCCACCGGCGGCTTGCAGGATTAGGGAGAGAATGTCGCAGGGCTATAGGAAGATTTCGCAATCAGTATTGCCTGTTCGGAGGTGTCTTTCAGGTTTTGAAACTTGTCCGCGAAGTGGATTCTCCCGATCCATGTCTCAAGGCTCAAATTTTTGCTCAAGGAGGAAAAGGGAACAGCGGAGGTACATACGATAAAGATCCAGTAATAAAGCTTTGGGGAGAAGCGTGCATGCTGGGGACCGAGGAAGATGATACTGTGGTATATCAATGTCAGCGTGAGACCTGGTTCGTGATTCTGAGATGAGGTGTACTGACATTTTCGACAAGGTCAGGTAGATGGCTGCTGAGTAGAATGCCGGACCAAGCGTGATACAGACTGTCGGGCGTTAGAAACCATTTCTCTCATCCCGCTTGAAAAGCAATTGACAATATACGCCAGCAGGGCAATGATGCGAGGCAAGCTACTCACTGATCTGGATCAAAAAGCCCGGAAACGAGAACGGGTTCTCCCACATCAGCACCCGCCCCCCGTACCCAATCAACTCACTGGCGCACCCCCAGAACATCGCAAACACAAAGGCCCACGTCCTGTACTTGATCCCCAGCCCCAGATGGATGACCAGTGCGATGGCGAAAAGCGCGATGAACACGCTGTTTGCGGCTAACGAAGGGCGGTACTCGTAGACGCCCACGCTCGCCGGACAGTACTGCGGACCGGGTGTCAGGGTGCAGTTTTCGTTTGGACCGTAGCTTATCAGGCCGTTGGGGTTGTGGCCGGCGTTGGCCATTGTTGCGGGATCTTTGGGCGGGAGATTAAGATGGAGCGGTGGTAAGGTAGTTGGGGACTGCTGATCTCTGACCTCTGGAACAACCAATTCTCTTTCCACCCCCCCAAGAAGCGGGTAGAAAGCAGACAGCAGCAAGACCGAAGTAGAAGAAGGTAAGAACGACTCAATTATATGTACATATATACAAAACGCTGAGGCAGACTCTACTTTGCGTGTTCGTAAGAGGAACCACTCCTATTTATACGGCGAGATGAGGACATTGCGGCTCGGTACTCTCAGGCTAGGGAGGTAGGTAGATTATGCCTTACTTTAAGAGGTCGACTTTGCGTAAGCGTTTTTAGCTTATTTTGACCTACCCTATCACAGCGGTCACAGCTGCGAGATGCACGCTAATATCCCCGCCGTCGCCGCTGGTACATCGGCTTGACAGCGGCCTCTAACGTGATGACCAATTGACATTGGCCCTTGATCGGCGCTAGCGTTGGTGAAGTTGTTTCTTGTTGTCGTATTCGTATCGTCGCTTGAGAGGATTGTTTGTATTTTGCATGGGCGTTCTGAACTGAGCAGTATCTATTCGATTATGCGACGCTTGTTGGGGAAAAGGCGGAAGGTGAGTCTGGCTACGTATGTCCTGGTCTATGTACCTGCCTAACTCGATTGCTTTCATCTATGAGTGTCCTGCTTCACATCGCATGCCTCACACGCTGCGGTATCGTCCACGCCAGCTTCTTGGCAGTCCTCTCACAATATGCAAACTTTGTGCTTTGCTGATACTTCGAAAGGTGCCCTTTCTACACTCCCCGGACGAGCCACAGCGAAGCTTCGACGACTGAGGAGAATGCTGACAAAATCTACCACCTGACGTTTCTATCATCTCTTGCACGATGCTGGTCGCTGAGCCTCGGGTACGGATTTTCCGCCAGCAGGCCTGACCGTGATACTGACAGTGGGCGTAGGCGTGTTCAGGATTGTCAACGGTATTTGGATGATGTGGCTGCGTGGAGTTCCGCATTCGTCGCATGCAATCCATCTCAAGGTGTCCTCGCATTCTGTTGCGTTTGTTCTGGGAAAAAGCCTCGACCTAGCCCGAAAAGCGCGCCGGACTGCCTTGTTGTTCTTGTCGGAGAATTTGGCGCAGAGTCGAGCAGGGAGCGGATGAGCGTAGACAGAGTTTCGTTGTCCATTTGGGATGATGAAATTAACGTGGAATCCTTCATCTCCGTGCCTTGCGCATGCGCTGGCTCGTCTTCTGAGTCTCCCTCCGTCTACGGTCGCATGTTTTTCATTCAACTTTCTCTGGAATTCTCGAATGGCTGTTCGTGACACACAACTCCGCGCACCGGCGTCACCAAAGCTCCGGTAATGGCTTTTCGCGCCTTGGCTTGAGTCCATGGATGTTGAACCGTTCTTTTCGTGCATTTCTCGCATTCCGCGTAACACTCGATGCCTGGATTTCGACCTCGGTACTTCTGGCGCCTTGCAAGTACTTTTTTGGTCGGTCGTTTGGGTCGACGGTCAGGTGGGATGGAAATGCATCCTCGTATTCAAGATAGTCGGGAGTTCTGGGGGGCCTGTCAACGAAGAGAACTTTCTAGATCGTCATCTCGAGGAGCAGCGATCCAGTGTCCGAGTATCAATTTCGTCTTCGGATATGTCGATTGACTTTCAGATTTTTCGCTACGACCGGATCACGTGACGTTGCCTCGGTTGATTCTCGGAGCATCGCACTTTCAAAAATTGGATTATAACATTCCTCAGAAAGATTGATCAGAAACACGGTATACTAGATTTATCGAAGACTTGCTACTATCCCAAAATCTTCTTGCGTTGTCGAGTTGGAGCTTGAAATCTGAAGTCTTCAGGTACACTGAACGCTGGGAACAAAGTATGAGTCAACCGAGGGATGACCGATGATGTGTGTTTCTTCCTTCCCCTTTTTCCTATAAAAAAACATAATGAACGTATGCTGTAGTGAATTCCCATAATTTACACCTGGGTTTCAAACTAGACATCAATTTTCCCTTCACTCTAGATATGGAATCAGATAGCGGCGCCTTGAACTTTCGGAAGGACTGGGTGGTGCAAAAATATGGCGGCACCTCCATTGGCAAATTTCCCAACGAGATCGCGAACATTATCTGCAGCGAACTCAAACGCAATCGTTTGGCAGTTGTTTGCTCTGCCCGTAGCTCTGGAATCAAAGCCGAAGGCACAACCACGAAGTAAGCACATCCACAGATCCTCCTACAAGCAGAAATCTTAAAACGTGCCCAGACTGCTCAAAGCCGCCGCG